CAGGGGCTCCCGATTCCTCCTTCAGAGCACAGCCTGCCCCGCCTCCCCCGGCGCTGCATTTGCAGGTCTGGAATGTTTAAATGCAAAAGCTTCGATAGCATCTCACAATATGCACCAAAGAGTGCAGTGTCCGGTTCCATCTGGCTCCTGGAGAGCACGGGCAATCCATTGGTGGGGCTGGAGCACGGTGGTGGCACTGATGGTGGCTGGGCTACCAAAATGAGSCACCCCATTGCCCAAGCAGTGGGGTCTGGTGGTGCCAGCTGGGGCACACGGACACGGGAGCTGAGGAACGGGTGGAGTTSTGGAGCACTTCAGTGCCAAACCTTTCTCAAATACAGCTGGAAGGATTTTTTTTTCTTTTTTTTTTAAGTGAAAGGAAAGTAATTTCCAACAGTTTCGTGTGGGAATTGTTGAAAAACTTATTCCTTCTTTTCCAGCACTTTTCCAAGAATGCTCCTGCAAGGAAATGAGCAATTCCAGYGTCAGGTATGAATTTTAAAGGGATGCTGCTGCCGGTGTTTGCTGAGCAAAGGTTAATGGCTGGGTTCAAATGCTGCAGGATTGGCAGGGACACCTYCCACTGTCCCAGGGTGCTCCAAACCCCATCCAGCCTGGCCTCGGGCACTGCCAGGGATCACAGCCACAGCTTCTCTGGGCACCCTGTGCCAGGGCCTCACCGCCCTTGTAGAGAACAATTCCTGCCCAATATCCCATCGGGCAGTGGAAGCCATCCCCTGTGTCCTGTCCCTCCATCCCTTGTCCCCAGTCCCTCTCCAGCTCTCCTGGAGCCCCTTCAGACCCCAAAAGGGGCTCTGAGCTCTCCCTGGATCCTTGCCTTCTCCAGTGAACATCCCCAGCTCTCCCAGACCTGGGCTGGCTCAGGTCCCATTTTTCACCCATCAAACACTGTCCAGATCCCTCTCCTCAGGGCTGCTCTCCACCCATTCACTGCCCAGAGGAGGATGAGGGCAGCCTTCAGCCTCATTTTGCAGCAGCAGCAATCGCTGAGGGATGGAGGGGGAAGGAAAGRTTTCCTCTGCCACTGGAAGGAACCAGCCAAAGCATTCAGTGACTTTTTGTTCTGGCAAACATCTGCAGACGGCCAGCAGGAGCAGCAGCAGCAGCGTGGGACACGGCAGGAGAGGAACCTCCTCCAAAAGCTTTGTGGCTTTTGGTTCGCTGCATTTTTGTTCGCTGCTCCTTCTCGGAGGAGCCCGCAGAAGGACTGAGAGGTGCCGGCATCTCTGCAGGACCCGGCTCACCCGGCCTGACCTCGCCCACCCGCTGCCTCGCCTTCCAGAGTGCCATCAGCTCTTCAAATATAGCGATTAAATGTGAGAAATGGGCTCCAGAGCGCTATTTCGGGAGAGAGGAGGCTCCATCTGGGCGWGCTGCAGCGCTGGCTCAGCACGACCCACTGCACACCTGGCTGTCCCCACTAACCCGCCTGGGTGCTGCCCACAATTAAATATTGGATAGCACACAGTTATCTGGCATGTTCCAAGGCTGTTTTCCTCCCTGCCCCTTCCACAAGCCTCCCTGATTCCTCTGGCTGCGTTAGACACTGTTAGACACTTTAAATACAGAGTTTGCCCAATTTCTGGGAGTGCAGCAATGGGTGGTCAGGAGCAGCAAAAGCCACCCAGTCACAGCAGCACCCACAGTTCACCCGGTCCCTGTAAAATTCGGGAGAGCTCTGGGGAAAGGCATCCCAACACAGGGGGAAATCCCTAGAAAATGTCAGGATGAGAGATAAGGGCGGGGAGAAGAATAAAGATCAAAGGGACCCCCATCCCTGTCAGTGTCCAAGGGCAGGCTGGACGGGGTTTGGAACACCCTGGGACAGTGGAAGGGGTCCCTGTCCATGGCAGGGGTGGCACTGGGGGGGCATTAACGTCCCTTCCCATCCAAACCCTTCAGGGACTCTGAGTGCCCAGGATGGGGTTTATTTCATGTCACGTCCCCCAGCTCAGATCCATGGAGGTGTTTAGGCACCGAAGGGGTTCCAGCTGCTGCTGCATCTGGTTCTGAACACAGCGCTCCCAGTCCCCGGGCTGTCAGTCGCTTCAGCACCCACAAATACCATGCTCACCCCAGACCATCCTCCAAGAGCAGGGGTTTGTGATCCCCACCCTGTGTCCCCAGCCCTGGGCAGCCCCTGGGATGCCCGTGGGGACCAACCAGGACTGGAAGCAAAGGGAGACAAGCCCGCGATGCTCAGGGATGGTGTGGGGCTTCCTCCCTGTGGGGCAGGTCAGGGAATGGGGACCAGGGCTGGAACGGGAGCGGGACAGCCCCTGGACCCTTCCCGGCTGGAGGGGAGCTGAGACAACCGCCCCGATCCTCCCTGGGATGGAAAGGCACCGTGRCAGCCCCCACTCCCTCCCCAGGCGGCGGGGGACACACCGCAGCAGCCCCCAACTCCCACCTTGCCGGGCAAGCACCGGGACAGCCTCCAAATCCTCCCGGGCGYGACGGAGAGCGCGACATCCCCCGATCCCTCCTCGTGCAGGAAGGGGACGGCGCCAGCCCGGTCCGGCCCCCGGGACCCCGCAGCAGCGGCGGGGCTCGCTGGGTTCGGTGCCGAGCCCGGCCGGGCTCCCCCCGACGGCCGCCGCCCGCCGCGCTCCCCAGCCCATCCCGCAGCGCCGGGCAGCCCCAAGCCGTCCCCTTCTCTTCTTCCTCCTCCTCCTTCTCCTCCTCCTCGCTCTCCTCCCCTTCCACCCCCCCGGGCCGATTTGGGCAGCGGCGCGCCCGGCGCTGCCGGCAGAGTGTGCGGGCGCGGTGCCGGAGGCAGCTCGGCCCCGGGGGGGTGCGGCGAGGCAGGAGCGACCCCCCCGCGTCCCCGCGGTCCCCGCGATCCCCGCCCTGCATGCCCGCGGCGGCGGCATGGCCCGCAGGCAGGCGCGGGCGGGCGGCGGGCGCTGGCTGCCCTGGCTGGGGYTCGCCCTGCTGCCGCTGGCCGTGCCCCCCGCCTCCGCCCCCGCCGCCTGCCCCTCCGCCTGCTACTGCGTGGCCACCCCGGAGCTGGTGCAGTGCCGCTACGAGCGGCTGCAGGAGCCCCCGAGGGAGCTGCCGGCCGCCGTGCACAACCTCAGCATCGCCGGCAGCAACCTGAGCGTCCTGGCCCGCGCCGCCTTCGCCGCCCGCCCGCTGCGCGACCTCCGCCTGCTCCGCCTGCGCCACGACAACATCCACACCATCGAGGACATGGCCCTGCAGGGGCTGCCCGCCCTGCGCACCCTCGACCTGAGCCACAACCCGCTGCTCTCGGTGGCGGCGGGCGCCTTCGCCGGGGCGCCGCTGCTGCGCACGCTGCAGCTGAACCAGGCGCTGCTGGCGGCCCCGCTCGAGGAGCAGCTCGCCCCGGCCCTGCGCAACCTCAGCCTGCGGCGCCTGGAGCTGGCGGGCAACGGGCTGCGGGCGCTGCCGGCCGCGCTGCTGCCGCCCGGCCTGGAGGAGCTGGACCTGCGCAACAACTCTCTGCAGCGGCTGGCGGCCGCCGAGCTGCGCAGCCTGGACTCGCCCGAGCTGCGGGGGCTGCGCCTCAGCCTGGCCTCCAACCCGCTGAGCTGCGACTGCGGCCTGCGCCCGTTCCTGGTTTGGCTGCGCGCCGCCGCCGCCCGAGTGCTCGACGCCCGCAGCCTGCGCTGCGCGGGCCCGCCGGGGATGCGCGGCACCGCCCTGCTCCGCCTGCGCCCCGAGGCGCTGCCCTGCGCCCGCAGCGACGGCGCCGAGCCGGGACAGCTGGAAACCGCGTCCTACGTGTTCTTCGGCATCGTGCTGGCGCTCATCGGCATCGTGTTCCTCATGGTGCTCTACCTGAACCGCCGCGGCATCAAGCGCTGGCTGCACAACCTGCGCGAGGCCTGCCGCGACCAGATGGAGGGCTACCACTACCGCTACGAGCAGGACGCTGATCCCCGCTGCGCCGCCGCCATCGGCACCCCCGGCCTCTGAGGGCACCTCTGGCACTGAGGGCATCTCCGCTCTGAGGGCACCCCGGCTCTGAGGGCAC